CAAAACTTATTTATTTAGAATATGTCTTCTAACACGATTCCTCACATGTAGACTTAGATACATTTTTTCCCATCAAAGTCTTGAATTCGGGACATGTGCGTGCTCTGATTCATGATAAACAACTTGTTTATTCAAATTATGTCTTCAGCAAAATGTACTTTTTCAATTCTATCTTCTTGTATAGTGCCTGAAAGCATCAAAACTTGATCAACCTCAGCTATGGAACTGTTACAGGTATTGGGAGCAGCATCAATGGCAGTTAATACAGGAAAGCACCCTGGTCAGCTGAAAGATGACGTTGCATCTCCTGGAGGGACAACTATAGCTGGCATTCATGAGTTGGAGAAGGCTGGTTTTCGGGGAATTTTGATGAATGCAGTTGTTGCTGCCAGCAACCGCAGCCGAGAACTTTCTAATAAATAGTTTTGCCATATTCATTTGATTAGCTTGCTTAATCTTATTTTCCTTGGACCTTGCCCTATTCGATTTTCCTTTCATAAGATAAGATGATGATGTTTCTATCAACTCGTCTTTACAAGTTTTCAGTGAATTTCCTTGAACAAGCACATGATTAAATATCGTGAATAGTTAATTGATCAGAAACAATAATTTGCCACCCTTGTCTTTGATAACTTTGGTGTTATAAATGAAGTCGTCTGGGCGATGCATTTGAGCAAACTTATTGAGGGCATGGTTTGTATCTCCAGATTCTTAGCATTCAAAATATGAATTTGAGAACTCATAACAGCTATTTCACTCTCATGGTATAATCATTAGACTAGCATTTTGAATAACACTACTTCGATAGATTTGAAGTATAATCATACAAACATTGATTAATACAAGAGATGATTGCATCTGTGGTTAGAAACCTTACAAAATTTTTTTTTTTTTCAGACTTTATCCAAACTTTTTATTTGTGTCTTTTCGTTGCAGTAGGATAGACGGATGTAGAGGTGGCAAAAAGGTCCAGTAGCTCATTGGGGCTTGGCTCTTGCTCAATCCAAGATCTTACCGTTCCTCTACAAAGACAACATACACTCTCAACGGCTAGACATTACTCTCTTTCTGAGTTATTCTAACTTCTTTATGATTTCGTGTCGCGGTGACAAAAAAATAAAAAAAATAAAAAAATGAGGGCTGTCTCAATGGAAGGAGAAGGGATTATCTTCTTGTTTTTACATAAGTCGAGCACGGGGCTCGGTTGGTGAATGGCTCGTGGGCACTACCCAGGAGTCTGGCTCGTCGCACAAACCTTTATATTTGACCGTCGGGGTCTCATAACGGTCACCTGAATTATTATTGTCATCATTTTTTAAAACTCTATAAATACTTCACAACTTCAATAATTTTTCACACAAATTATTTACTCTCTTTTACATTCTCTCTGAAATCAAAATATCAAATAACTATCAATTTCATTACATGCACATGCACATGCACATTCTATTACATACATTCTTTCAATTTTATTCTCTACACTACATTCTACATTATCCAATTTATACATTTCATCCTCATTCAATTTACATTCCTTACTATAATTTTATTCCATGTTTATACATTTTTATTCTATTACATATACATGGATCCTAATGCTTTTATTGAGGTTTGTTCGGTGGCCACTCACCTATGACGCAACAATCTCAATTTCAGAATGAATTTTCTAGTCTCAACGAAGCATTGACTATGCTCACGAAAGTAGTAATCCAATTGATTTGGATGAAATTGATGAAGATGCTGTGAATCGGAACAGAAATTGTTCGATTCAAGAGGGAAGCAAAAGGATAAAAAAGCTGCGAAGTGTTCGGAACACTTTAAATTGATTTCAATGGATTGTACAGTCAACATAATTCAAGAGTATAAAACAGTGTGTAAATGTTGCTAACGCGATTGGCATGGCAAAAGGGTATCAGTATTACCTACATCAACCGTCACTTCCTCAAATGTGCAGCCAAACATAGGCTTGTTGGTAGATAGTAAAACAACTGCAATTTGATACTCCTTTCGATACTAATTTTACAACACTTATCACACGAATGTATTTAGAGACATACAAATCTATAAATAGAGACATTTGGTTCAATTTTTTCCTACTCCAAATCAATTCCACATAATTGATTTCTAATTCTTTCCTTCTCCAAATTATGTTAAAATAATTTACATATTATTTTGAATTTCGTGTTCAATATTTATTATTCGACATCTTTCATTGTAGAAGAGTACAATTAAGCATTGGTTCGCGTAGCAAAATTAATAGTGTGCTATATTAATTTTGGAAGATGCGTTGTATCTTGAAAGATGGACATCCATTTAATCCTGTTAGCATTCGTGCTGCAAAGGACGAAATCCGTTTTAAGGAGATTTACATTCACATACCTCGCTTCATTTTTTCTCCTTCGATTTTTGCATTTTCTACGTTTGAGTAAGTAGTGATTTGCTCAATATTATGCATGTACTATGATTCAATAAGTGGTCACTCTAGTATTTGCATGTACGTATTTTTGATTAACGGACTACAATTCATGCACTAATTTATCCAACATGCCACTCTTGTCATCGTTCCAGAAGAGTTGCCAAAAGAATATTTTATTTGGCAAGAGACAGGTTCCAAGAAGCCTGCTCTAATCTCCTCTATACCTGGATTGTTTCTCCTTAAAAGGTTTGATGAGGCTTTTAGATAACTACATTCTGCACTCGCAACCCAAACAATAGGCAAGTGTTGGATTTTATCAATGATATTTGCTCTTAAATTCAGTCATACATTACTAAACCAGCGCTTCTCACTTTTTTAGTTTCACTTTAATTTCAGACTCATTTAAACCATCTCCGTTTTTACTAGGTGGAATGCAATTTCTTATTTTATCCTTCCTTTTCCGGATAATTGAAAGATTATGTTTCACATTTACTGTAATTGACAGATTATTTACATGTTTTTGATTCTATAGTTCATTGATATATGAGAGTACCATTTTGGACTCTTTTGTTTGTAATTTTTACCTATTTTTTATATTTAATGTGATTTAGGGGGTGAAGGTCCAATTTGAAGTTCGAAAAGTCAGAAAAATGTACAAAAAGAATGAGTGAAATTGTGGAGGGAAATGATAGTCCCTCTACATCTTCAATAACATCCTTGGAATAAATAAATACCAGAGGTCAGGGCGGAGTTAGGAATTTTTTCAGTGCGGACACAATTTAGAGCTTGTTTGTTTGGGATTCTCAAATTCTACAGTAAATCAATTCTCATTTTCAACCACACATTCTTCAATAAAATAATATTTTCCATCACATCAATAATTTTTTCTTCTTTTTCAACCACACATTTCCCATCATATCACTATTTAAAA